TGAGGGGTGTGCCTGGCCCCTCCTCTTCTCCATGGGTCCAGGTGTTTGTAATGGGGAGGGCATTTCTCCTGTCAAGACTAACCACTCTGCCAACCAGCTGCAGCTGGCTCACACAGGGAGAAACAGACAGGGCTTCAATCCCAACACCATGTTAGATCCAGACAATTTTCTAATTCCTATCTAAGAGGAGACTGTGCTGCATATGGCACCTGCGGTCTGACTGTTTGTGGACGGGTCATGTGGTAAAAAGATTGATTCTCCTTTCACTGTTTAAAAATGCTGTGTTCAGCCAGAAGACAAGGAGAAACAGAGATGGGGCAAGACTGATCAATGCCATTAGAGCCCAAGCTCACAAGAGTTTTTGCATGCCCGCTGTGTTAATGTCTTAGAGACAGCCATCCCTAACAATCTACAAAACGTTTCATAATCAGATATTCTCCTTTCTTCCAAAGTTTAGTCTATTGCTGACAGTTTTCATTAGACCACCAAACAGCAGGGCAATCAAATGCACTCAATCAAATTACATTCAAAGAAATGTAAGATGGAGTCAGACATGTTATGTGTGAAGATGATTTGAGAGACATTGGAATGTGTTTTTCTAAGTGTCACGAGAGTGTTTTTTCTGAAGATCAGTACATCGTGGTTCAAGATAAAACTAAAGGTTGAACCGAGGAGCCCGTGGAAGACTCAACATTCTGCGCTAATTGGAGAAGAGATGAAACACCTGGACTTTCATGGGAATTAAGGGAGGAGGAAGGTATTATAGCCCCTTGAGGCTAATTGGTTAACAGTCAGAATTGTCAAGAAGAAGGGAGGAGTTAGAGAGTGTAGAAAATGGACAATGGGTTATGTGAAAGAAATTCTGTTCTGGATTTTGATTCCATGACGATGGGAGAGAAAGGAACTTGATTGAGAAAGGATGTAAGTAACACAAAAGAAGGAGGTGGGGCTAGCCCACTGTAGCCCACCTCAGCCCAGCTTAGTAGTGTTTATTATTTTAAAGTGAAATAGTTATTTTATTTAACTGTAAAAATCTTTGAATGTCTTCTTTATGGTAAAGCTTGTGCAATATAAACTGATTCTATTTTTCTAATAAAAATTAATTATAAACATTCTTACAAAAGGACTGGTCTCTTGAATGGCAGGGTCTGGCTAAATCCAGGAGGTGAACAGGGCCACAAACTAGCTATCTTTAAGAGTCCTATCTAACTGAGCTGTTGTGAGTTCTAAGGAATCACAAAGCCCATGTGTCTGTGCTTGCAAAGTACTGGGTAAAAGTAAAGTGTTCTTTTACGGTCAGACTTGTTCAAAGGGCTTACGCTACACACTGCTGAGGTCTTGGGACTTGTCCCAGTGCAAAAGTGGTAGGTAAGTGGCCTGTCAAACTCTCTGACTGAATGCTAGGCGTTCCTTAGGGAGCCCAGGGCATCACACCACCCACAGCTCCTCCTTCTTATGAGACACAGTGGCACTGTCTGCATGCAAAATACATTGTGGTGTTAGAATATATCTCTGTTGAATCTACCCAAACAGCTGTCTAATGATGGGCCGTATTTCCCACTGGGACATCTCCCCTCCTCCTGGCTGGCTGTGCTTTTCCCTTTTCTACCATGCATGGCCCAGCCTACCAGATGTCTGCTGTTCTTGACTGTTAAGACACCACTCCCCTGGTGCTTGGGCGGTACTTAGCTAATTGTGAATCCTCCGTAATATTGTTCTGACATCTGCAATGCATCAGAATCTGATGAATGGGCAAGAGAAATAGGAAGCAGATAGAATTAGGAAGGTCTGATTGTTTAGAAAGATAGAATCCACAGGATGACTCCGATTCTTAAAAATCTACACAACAAAGCAGTAGCCATGTGGGTTTTAATAATTTGTGTAGAATACACAATTTGAGAAATAAATGTTGATCCAAAGTCACTGGGACAGGATTTCTGCTGTTCCTGCGTGAGGTGAAAAATCCAAACTGTTGTGTTTTTTAGGCAAGCTAGAAAAGTTGCAGGTGAAAGCTGACCCTTCCAGTCATCTTGTTTTCATGCTCTAGCCAGGAGATGTTGCAGACATGGGGATTTTCTCATTAAGGACTCCCAATCACACATGACAAAATTAAATGGGTATAAGAATTTTAATCAGTCAGTATTCGTTATATCCTTATGCTAGAGACACTCAGCACAAATTACAGAGATCCTGAGAGGAACAAATAGCTCTCTCATCTCATTCTCACCTGGAGGTGAGGAATCTTGTGATGCTTGAAAATTTCTCATCAAGGTTCCTCATCACGTTGAGACAGCCAAAATCAATGAGAATGATGAATTTAGCAACTGTTGTATATCCCTTAAAAAATATACTCAGACAAATAAAATATTGTGGAGTACAGATTCCTAAGCAAAGGGTAGGACTGAAATGAAGGCTCAGTTCAATCTACTTCTACCTTCAGTGGGACAGATGGTAAATATTCCATTTATTATTTCTCTCTAGGAATGACATACTTTTTCTTTAGCTATTAACTGACACCCATCAGGACTGTCATCTTCCCTCCGGAGGAAGGAGCATCTGGCTACAGTCTAAAAGCAAATGAAAATCTCAGCAGTACTCGCAGTTAAGCATTGATGCAATATTATCTGGTATAGATTGGCTCCTGCCTTGACTGTTGCATTAAGGTTTTAGAGAGGGAAAGAGGAAAGCCTTCTATAGAGAAACACATTTAGAAATGTCTAATCAATACTCAAGATGTTGTTGAAGCTTTGGCTTAAACGTGGATCTGCTGTTAGAGGATGATGTTCAGGGCGAGTTTTGCCTCTTCTGTTGTTTAAGTAAGTTAATTTCTTGATTTTTCCTTCAACTTTTTTTAAAATCAACACCTCCTCCTCCTCCTCTCTCTCTCTCTCTCTCTCTCTCTCTCTCTCTGTGTGTGTGTGTGTGTGTGTGTGTGTGTGTGTGTGTGTGTGTGTGTAGTTTTATCTTTTGAAGTCAAAGACGATTATGCTAGACTGGATTCCTGTAGCAAGTTTCCATTTGGATGAAAAAAAAAAACTACTATCTGGTAGTACTGTGATCACCGTATGCAACCAAGTCAACAACAGTTCCACCTGAATCTAGATCAGCATGGAACTCAAGTTCAGGAAAAAAAAATCCCTTCTGGTGGGTTCCATTACCACCTCATCTAGGGCACAATGACTTGCAGCATCTATAATATATACAGTATATCTCTATTTTGTCACTGAAACATGCATTTATCTACTGTGTGTGAAGGCAAATGATGTCACTACTTCAACATTTCCTCTTTTTGAGATGCCCCCTCCATTCCCCATCTCAGGAGTATCATGATTGTTCTGATCAAAGAAATAATACAGTGGTCGTTGTGGGTTTTTCGGGCTCCAGAGTCACTGGCCCGAAAGTCAAGAGCCTGAAAAACCCACAACAACCAGTAGATCCCGGCCGTGAAAGCCTTCATGAATACAAAATAATACCGTGTTTCCCTGAAAATATATTAATTTTTGCTCCAAAAACACATTAGGGCTTATTTTCAGGGGATGTTTTATTTTGCTCATGTACAACAATCTACATTTATTCAAATACAGTCATGTCATCTTCTCCTGGTTGCTGCACAATGGCGGAGGGCAGGGTTTCACTTAACTAGGGCTTATTTTGTGGTAGGATTATATTACAAGCAACCTGAAAAATCATACTAGGGCTTATTTTCAGGTTAGGTCTTATTTTTGGGAAAACAGGGTAGTGTGTCCCCAATATTGAACTATGTTTGGGGCCTTGTATTGCGCACAATGATTCTGTGGAGGAAATAGCTCTTTCTGAAAATTCTAGTTTTACTTGCTGACCTCTTGAACAAACAGAACATCTATCCCGACCCCAGTTCATCCATCCCACTTTGTCCTACAGAGTTTCTCTCCAGGATGCATGTAATCCACTGGTTTTCTCCATTTCACCAATGCATCTATAACATCTGCTCTATTGCAAATATCCCACTTTAATATAGATCAGACCTGGGCAAAGTACGGCCCTCCAGATGTTGCTGAACTGCAAATCCCAACATTCCTCACTGTGTGGGCTAGGCCCAACTCTCCTCACTATTGGCTCTGTGGGCTAGAAATTATGGGAGTTGCAGTTCAACAACATCTGGAGGGCCACATTTTGCCCACCAATGATATAGATGATCCTTCAAACCTCCGCTAGCGTTCTGCCTTTGTTGTAAAGGTGGGCATAGTAACTAATATTATAAAGTGCCTTGTAATTTTTTTCCTGAAAATTGGGATATAAATGTATAAAATAAAATAAACACAATATTTACTGTAAATCATTTCTCACATCACAAAATAGAATAAGCTAATACTACAAATTTAACTCACTGATATATTGAGAGGAGAAATGATCATATACCTGGAAGCCCTTATTTAGGTGTCAGAATAGGTTACAGGACAGGGCTGGGGAGTTAGAAGCCATCCGCATGTTGATAAATTACTGCTCCCATCGGCCACTGCAACCTGGCCAATGGTGACAAGTGATGGGAGTAATAATTTAACATCTGAAGGGCCAAAGAACTTGGAAAGCTTTGATCCCATTGGCTCATCTATACATAGTAGTAGTAGTAGTAGTAGTAGTAGTAGTAGGAGGAGGAGGAGGAGGAGGAGGAGGAGGAGGAGGAAGAAGAAGAGAAGAAGAAGAAGAAGAAGAAGAAGAAGAAGAAGAAGAAGAAGAGGAGGAGGAGGAGGAGGAGGAGGAAGAGGAGGAGGAGACACAGTGCGGAATTGAACTTCCAACCTCTGACTCTGCAGTCAGAGACCTAAGCCACTGAGCTGTCCAGCAGTTCATGACCATGAGATTTATTACATCTTATGTTTTGCATCTAACACACAGTGACCCCCTCTAAGAGTTTCTGTGGTCAAGCAGGGATTGGATCTCAGCTCTTCTGAGACCTAGTCTGTATCCACTACACTGGCCCATAATTTTTTACATAAAATTAGAAAAAAAGAATATAGAACCTGTGATGTCTAGTGTCACGGATGGCACGGTCACTGGGTATCCTTTCACTCTCCCGCTGGTTGAAGGCATAGAGTCGATATGGGTCCTCTCCACCCTTCCATCTCCGGGCACTCAGGTACTTTCTCTCTTCAAATTGATCCCAGAGGTCATCCCAATCAATGTCAGAGCCCTGTTCACATACAAATATTCATGCCATAAGAACAATAATGGAACTGTTGAAGTTAGGTAGGCTTTTTACACTTACGATAACTTCTTTTTTAAGCAAACAGTATTTTTTTAAGCAAATGGCTCATGGTTTTGATTTCTCCTTGTTTTTTTTTTAACTTTATACTCTGTCTTTAAAACTTTGCTTCTGCCTTTAGAGATTACTGAGAAATTGTCTCTGCTGAGGTTTTTTTAAAGTGTAGTTTTTTAGAGTTGTGCAAGCATTTTAAAAAGAAAAATGAAACAAAACAAAAGCCAAAACAAACAAATGAACAACCCCAAACAAACCTTCTGGCACTTAAAAATTGGATTTACACAATTCAAGCCTCCAAGAACCATGTGAGGAAATGTTTTAGTTCATATGTAGTAAACTTTTATCAATATTCACAAAATGTATACAAATGTATATACTTGCTTATCCCTACCCAAGACTAAATGCAGAACCAAACACAATTTGTGGTCAGAAAAATGTAGATTTCCAGCCTAATTATGCACAAAAGAAAGAAGAATAGTTCAAGCGTACATGTACATTTGAAAAATGAAAAGAGGAAACTGCAGTGCGCAAACACAAGTTAGTTAATGGTGTGTGCATACAAAACTGCATATATTTTAAAGCTGGCACAAAAATATATAAAAGCATAAAAACAAGAGGCAAAGAAAGTATGAATCTGGAGTAGGGTTAGTAAATTTGCATGCAACCGGGATGGTGTATGCTTAATGATAGTAAAAGGAAAGCATCTGTGAGTTCTGCCGGTTTTGCTCCTCATCGTTCCTGCACTAAGAAATCTGACTTAAAAGCAGGAAATAAATAAACCAAATTTGCTTAAATAGCGTTAAAGTCTATGATCTCAGAATTAGCCACATTAGCTCCTGTGCCTGCTTTTATCACTCATCCAAGCCGTAGCCTTGCAGCTGCTCACCATCTACAGCAGCTGCACTTTGCACTCCTTGCCTGAGTACTCTCACCTGCTCACGAGTCAAACCGTCCTTTCGTGCAGTCTTACTCATTGGCTTTGTCCCTTGCTCCATGGAACTCACACAATGTACCCCTGATAACATCACATCATTACGGAACCACAACTTCTTTGATCTTAGCCAGTGTGTAGTACAGAGAGTTTCAAAACTTGTACAATCAGCCCGACACCAAAGAAAAAACTGTGCTCTTATCCAATAATTGATCTTCTTTTTTTTGTCATTGTTAACTCCATATCCTAGCTCCTTTTGCCTGCTAATGTCACACAATGAAGCTTTCAAAACAGGCAATTTTATCCCATAATTGATTTTATTCACATCTGACAGCACATTTTCATGCAATAACAGGAAGGAAAGGGGGGGAGCAATGGTTCCAACAAATGAATGGCTCATCCCATTTATTTGCTTCACTCATGGGACTGCTTCAAGATACTCCTGCATAACATTTCATACTACACATGGACTGCAAAGGAACTACAGTACTTATAACCCTGTAGGCAAGTTCCAAATGGCTACTTGCCATAATTATGAAAGGTTTTGGAGATTTATTTAAGCACCCCTGTGAATGGCTGAACATTTAAATGTAAATTGCTATTATCAACATGGTTTGAGACCTTCTTTCCCTCTTTTTTAAAAAATATCAGATATATTATTGCTATTATCAACATGGTTTGAGACCTTTCCCTCTTTTTAAAAAAATATCAGATATATTTGTGAAGTATGCTTCATTATTCTGCAGTACTTGTAGATCAAGCATATCATGATATGAATGAATAAAAACTACACAATTCTTCTCCCTACATGCAACCTACATTCATTTCAATGAGGTACGCACTGGAAATAACCCATTGGATAATGACTGATTTAACTAACTTTTTCTAAAATGCCAGAACTCTAAATGCCTCCTGATGCACCAAAAGAAAGAAATTCAACCTATAGAGCGGGTTGGATTCCAGTTCTCACCAGTCCCAGCCGAGGTAGAGAAAAGCTGCTTTTTTGGACTACATTTCTACCTGACTTACACACATCTAAATGTTGCTTGCCTGGGAGAAAGGACAGACGACTTAACTAAATCTAGCTCTGCCCAATTTCCTATTCCTCCTACCCCATTGCTACCTGGAACAGTTAACTGAAAGTTCACATTTTGCAGTTTCCCTGCCTCCCACGTGGTTTTTTTTTCAGTTCTTAACTCAAATCTAAGTACTTAAGTCAAGTCAATATTTTCCTATGAGAGCGGTTCTTAAGTCAAAATGTTCTTAACTCAAGCCGTTCTTAAGTCAAGACCCCACTGTATGCTTCATTATTCTGCAGTACTTGTAGATCAAGCATATCATGATATGAATGAACAAAAACTACACAATTCTCCCTACATGCAACCTACATTCATTTCAATGAGGTACGCACTGGAAATAACCCATTGGATAATGACTGATTTAACTAACTTTTTCTAAAATGCCAGAACTCTAAATGCCTCCTGATGCACCAAAAGAAAGAAATTCAACCTATAGAGCGGGTTGGATTCCAGTTCTCACCAGTCCCAGCCGAGGTAGAGAAAAGCTGCTTTTTTGGACTACATTTCTACCTGACTTACACACATCTAAATGTTGCTTGCCTGGGAGAAAGGACAGACGACTTAACTAAATCTAGCTCTGCCCAATTTCCTATTCCTCCTGCCCCATTGCTACCTGGAAGCCTTCTTTCTGAGCAGGAAGCTAGGCAGAGCTAGGCCTGAGTGAACCTCAAAGCCTTCCAGTTGAAACTTTTCTCCCAAGTGAGCTACATTTAGATGTCTGACTGTGAGATACAACTCCCAAAATAGAGAACTGTGGGGTTTGTTGTCCAAGAAATAAAAAATCCCATCCTTATGAAATATTATACAAATGTTAATGTACATTATTCTTGTACTGTTTCTTCTCAACAGATTGGCTCTCTCACTATGTCCATCCACTTTCCTCACCTCCTATATAATATTGCAAAATCCACTTCTTTCATTCAGGTTAAATTGCTATGATACTATATTTAGCATTAACTACATCCCGTATCTGGATGAATATGTTTTATTTTCTGCTCTTACTGCCTTCCCATCTTAAGCTTGCAATTTTGTACTCAGGATTCTGCCAGCTCACTATTATTTTTTTAAAAACCTTTAATACCTTGAAAACTCTGTTTCTTGTGTATATGCGGTTTGTAATATCTGATTGGGAAAACGTATATTCTTTTTTTCCTCCCTCTACCATCTTCTTGTCAGGCTTTGGATCGCTTACTTTTCCCCTTCTATATCCTTTTCTCCCCGTTTTCTCCTTAAGCTTCGAAAGTTCATTCCACTAATACCCAGCATGTCATCTCAATTCTCCTTTATAAAAGCTGTCTCATACTTCTATACACGTCGTCGTTGTCGTTTAGTCGTTTAGTTGTGTCCGACTCTTCGTGACCCCATGGACCAGAGCACGCCAGGCCCTCCTATCTTCCACCGCCTCCCGGAGTTGTGTCAAATTCATCTTGGTTGCTTCAATGACACTGTCCATCTCATCCTCTGTCGTCCCTTTTTCCTCTTGCCGTCACACTTTCCTAACATCAAGGTCTTTTCCAAGGAGTCTTCTCTTCTCATGAGATGGCCAAAGTACTGGAGCCTCAGCTTCAGGATCTGTCCTTCCAGTGAGCACTCAGGCTTGATTTCCTTTAGAATGGATAGGTTTGTTCTCCTTGCAGTCCAGGAGACTCTCAAGAGCCTCCTCCAGCACCACAATTCAAAGGCATCAATTCTTCGGCGGTCTGCTTTCTTTCTATACACAACAGCCTTTTCCTCTCCACTATAAACATATTTTCAAATAAGATAAAGATAAGCCACCTTTTCCAACAGGTATAGATAGATTCTACTTTCATATTATTCCGTGTGCAGAGAGACTTTTTGGACAGTTGGATATTCCCAGAGAGGCAGTCTTGTGAACTAATTAGGGTGTCAGCCTAGAACTAGAAGTACTGTAGTCTGACACTCTAACCGCTCCATCATTGCTGGCTTTCTGATAGTGGGAACTTCCATTCCTCTTCCATATAAGAGATAAACACCAGGTGGTCTGTCAGAATAAGAAAGCCTCCTTTTCTGAACCCAGCAGAGAACTTGCAAAAGCTGCTTTGGGGGTAACACAATACAGATGTGTGCAACTGAACCTTTCATTTTTAATGCATTTTGAGTTATTTAGTGAGGTTCCTCTTTCATTTTCATGTCTTCTGTGTGCTAGTCAACCATTAAACATGGAAAAGTCTGGCATGTGGGGTTTATTTCAGTTCATTTTCCCTCTTCACTGGAACCTTCAAAAACTGATCCAAAAAAGCAGGGGCAAGGCAAAAGAAATGACTCCAAGAGCAAGTAGCAAAAGCAGACAATCTCCTGCACAAACAGGAAACCAAACACAACAACCATCAAACCACCATTCCCCCGCTGCCATCGCCAACAAACTGAAATACTTGACAATGTCAACTTCCTGTCTATTAAAAGAGCCAAAGTGAGCTAGCTTCTACTTGCCACTCTGCTTTCAGTACATTCCTGCTCTGTGTCTGGGATCGATGATGGGATATGGCTGTTTCCCAAAGGATTCTCACTGGATTGTGCCCAGTTTAGAATAAATGTTTGGTTTGTAAAAAATAATCTTGCAGGCTGCAGGAAGGTTTCCTCAAAAAAGTCTGGTTACAGTTTGACCACTGTCATACTCACATCCAGCACAGTCTTTATATTCTCTCTTATCTCGGTAGCTCCTTATGAATTTGGGAGCAAGATGGTGTGAAAGAAGAGACACCATCTTTGATTCATATAGGGAATGCAGTCTGTCCTCCACTGCAGAAAGTCTCAAAGTACGGCTAGTGCCGTAGACACGATCGCACCCAAACGCCCTCTCCGCCGCAGAGATCGCCCGGCGCCCTGGTTTACCCAGGATCTCCGGACGTCGAAGCGGGTCAGGAGACGGCTAGAGTGCAAATGGAGAAAGGACCCGACGG